AAAAAAAAAAAAACTGAAAACTCAAAATGGAAACACATTTTTTGTGTTTTCATTTTTTGGCCAAATTTATAAATTGAGACCATTGATTTATAAATCAAAAATTTTACCAAACAAGTTTTTATTTGAGTTTTTAAAATTTTTGTAAATATAAACAGAAAACTGAAAACGTAAGTGTTACCAAACGGCACCTTTGCATTTCGGTAATTCATAGTGCCTCGTGAGAAATAAAATGAAAAGGGAAGTAACTTGTTCTGCCTTAGTTTCATGTAATTGTGAAACTGATAAGTTGACTCCTTTACATTGGTTCTATTGGGTCTAAATTTAATCCACGCACCATACCAGCTTGGGTTACTAAGGGATATTCAGAGGAGAGGAGATTGATGAATCAATCCCATTTGGCAATCCTCAAAAGCATAGACATTACAAAGAGAGTAGTAGCCAGAATGGTTGGTTGCACCTCTGTAGCTCACCAAATTAGGCTTTCCAACAACTCAAACATTACCCAATTGACTAAAAATTGGCTCAGAGGAAGCAAACTTAGCTATCACTCTTAGGAGCTCTAGAGTCCACAAGGCAAAGGTATTTTTGATGAGTTAAAAAAATGATCTTTTTCTATTTTTTTGGTTCTTCTCAATATATGGAAATTTGTTTTTTGAACCACATGCAAATTAAAGGTTGGGAACCACGGATGTGAGTAAAATTATTTTGATACGTAAAATTATTTTAATTTTCTTGTTCTTCTTTAATGGAAATTCAACCTCTTACATAGAATATTTGTGGGTATTATATGATTAAGGACTGAATATTTATTTGGACTGTTTTCTGCCCTGATATTCTGCACACATGGGTGTGTTCTTGTTGTCATTTCTCAATTTAGTAAATTTACTTAATTTGCACTGAAGTTCTAATATAAATTCCTTGTATGCTAGCTTATGTCTTCTCTTTTATACAATGATTGTTTATTTGTGTTTGTGTGTGGAATCAAAAGAAAAACATTCCAAGTATTTGTTATTTGAAATAGTCACCCTTCTCTAGACATTGTTTTATTTTTCACATGTTTGATAGTGACAATGTAAAGAATTTAGATGAAGGTGCATAGTTGTGGATGTTTTTGGGGATAAAACAAAGATTTTGGGTCAAGATTTTTAAGCATTTTGAAACAAACTAGTGCTGGTCATAGTTATATAAATGTAATTTTGGTGAATATAAATGAAACAAAATATTTTTGTTAATTCTTTGTGATCAAATAGTTAACTTGTAGATTATAATCCTTGTAATTTTCCTTTGGTTTTGTTGCTGAAATACTGAAAAACAATGGATTAGCTGTTCAAAAGAGTAAGATTCTTGATTTTGTTGTTTATCATGAAAGAAAATATGTTTCTTCATATTTCATCTCGTAAGCAAAATGTCGAACTCTTGATTTCCGTCAAATTAAATGGTTACCATTTTGCAAAGATTATGACTTCAGCTGTCGATATGAAGGATGAGTCAAGAGGGCGACCTATCCAGAAAGCTAAAGTAAGTTTGGAATTAAATGGAGTTTTATGATTTTGGTCATATGTACATGATTTACACTAAAAAAAAATAAATAAAAATGGAGCCCCTCTTGTATTTCTTGCATGTGATGGATTTTTCATCCTTTTTATTAGTCTTATGCATCTAGTTTCTCTGGACTTTTTTTTTTTTTTTGGCTTGTTTGTAGATAGGATTCAGTATGGATTTTTAACTTCTTTATGGTTCACTTGTAAAATCATAAAAATTAAGCTATTGTTATAATCTAGCCTTGACTTGTTGATAATATGTGTCTTTTGGTTCACAGATTGAGATATTGCTGGGGAAGACTGAGAAATTTGATGAATTGATGGCAGCTACTACTGCAGAAAGAGAACTTAGAGAATGTGAAGAGCAGAGTGTTGAAGTGGTACTATTTTAATTTCTGGGTTGTTAGTCTTAATGTAGTACGAGTGAATGCAATTTTAACCAGTTTCTTTAATTATAGTAGTTTTAGTACGAGTGAAAGTTAGATATGTATAATTTTGGATGGTTTAAACTTTTTGTACAGTTTAGAATTTAAGAATATGGTTTTTGAATATTTGGAATGTATAGACAATTGTTGAATGTTTATAACTTATGGATATAGTTTTTTTTTATGTTTTAAACAATATTTTGGTGGTTGATTGATGTTTTGTGATGTTTGATTGTAATATTTGTTAGATTGTATAAAATTGGTCAAATAGAACCTGTTGAATTTTTTTTTTTTTTTTTAAAAAAAAAAAAAAAAAAACTACGGGTGTGTTTGGTTTGAATTTCGGAAAAATTTTTGGAAAATTTTCTCTACAAATAAGTTTTTAAAAGTAATGAAACCAAACAAATTTTCTCAAAAAAATTTCTCAAAACTTGTAAACCAAACAAGTTTTCCAAACAAATTTCTCTCACACACATCAAATCAATCACTTTTTCCAAAACTCTCTCTCAAAATAATTTTCCAAAACATCTTTTGAAAAAAATCAAACCAAACAACTTTTCGTACTTTTTATCTCTAAAACACATCTCTCAAACACAAATCAAACATACCCTACATATTCTATGGCAGGCATAATAAGTCGTTGTATTACATATTTTACGATGCGCAATCAACGTCGTTATTTATCTTACTAATTAACGGTGTGCAAAAGTAGTCGTAGAAAAAGTAACAACGCACAAAATTTGCTGTTAAATAATTTTTAACGGCGTACAAAGCATGTCGTTGAAAGTGAATGACTTTCCATAACTGGTCATAATATGACTCGCGCTGCACGTCGTAGGAGAGTTTTTACGGCGTGCATTACGCGCCGTAAAAACCCTTTTTTGTTGTAGTGAAGGGCAAAATCTACTTTAAGAAGATTATGGTCCCGTTTGGTAGAGCTGTGGAAAAGTGATTATAGATTATAACTTATAACTGTGAAGATAAGCTATTAACCTGTTTAGTGCAGCTGTGAGATTATGGATTTAAGTAGCAGAGTAGTGTTTTGTTGATAAGCTGTAAAATAACTTTTTGCTTTGTAATTGTCCTTTTTGCCCTTATATGATATAAAAATGATTATTTTGTCATTTTTTTCAGTTTTAATTTTTTAAAAAAATATTTCATTAATAAAAGTTAATATAATTAGTATTACAAAAATTATTATTTTTATTAATAGTATCAATTAGTATAAAATTATTTCATTGTTTCATTATAAATGAATTAGTGTCAATTAGCATCAATTAATACTAAAATTATTAATTAGTATCAATTAATATAAAATTTATTTCATTAATGGCTAAATTTATTTCATTTAATAAAAGGTTATTTCAATTTTTTCATTAATATCAATTAGCAACAAATATTTTTTTTTATTACAATACCAAAGAATTTTACATTTTAATAGAAGTTATTTAATTGAAATAAATTTATATCATTATTAATTGAAATAAATTGTGCAATTTATTTCTTTATTTAAATTGTGCAATTGTACAATTTATATCAATATTAATCGTGAATAAATTGTGCAATTTATTTAATGGATATATATTGCAGAATTTATTTCAATTTATATCAATATTAATTGAAATAATTTTTTTTTTAAAATTAAATGAAAGTTAATTGAAATATATTGTTTTTTTTTTTTTTCATTACAATTATGCAAAACCCTAGCCACCACCGGTGGTCTACAACAAACCCTAGTTGGTAGCCCCCTACTTTTTCTTCTCTTCCTCATCCCACCGGTAGAAGCCCTATGCAAAACCCTAGCCACAATTGCGAAGAGAGAGATAGAGAGAGAGAGAGCTCAAGCTTGTTCTCTGCCGTGATGGAGAAGAAAGAGAGAGAGAGCTTATCAGATCATCATGCCGTCGATCGTCATCATCATCGTCACCATTTTAAATCGTGATGTGGTTTCATATCGAGAGGGGGACAGAGAGAGAGAGAGAGAGAGAGAAAGAGCTCGTCAAATCACCACTGGAAATCGACATCATCATCGTCACCATTTTCAAATAATGATGTGGCTTCAGATCGAGAGAGAGAGAAAGAGAGAACGAGAAATCGCCTTTCACGCCACCGGAAGCCACCGAAAATCACCTTTCACCCCACCGGAAGCCACCAGAAATCGCCTCTTACACCACCGGAAGCCATCGAAAATCGCTTCTCAAGCACCGGAAATCGCCTCTCTCTCTCTCTCTCTCTCTCTCTCAAGAAATGAATAGTGTTTGTTGTGGATTTATATATTGGTCTTTTTGGTAATATTTGAAGTATATAAGGGGCATTTAAGTCATTACGCCCCCTCAAAACTCAGCTGTCCGCTTAAGCTATTTCAAAAAACACGTCCCAGCCAGCTTAGAAATTTAAGATCACTTAACATAAGCTATAATCCATCTCTGAAAAGCTATAACAAACACTCCAAAATCACTTATTTTAAGTTATAAGTGGATTTAAGCTGAAAATAAGCTCTACCAAATAGGCACTATGTCCAATACAAGCCTAATTTAATTTTATTGCATAAGCATCGTAAGGTTTTAATTTCAGATTTTTGTTCATAATTTTTTTTTTATAAATCTTTTTATTTATTTTATTCAATTAATCGCACAAAGATTTTCACATAGGGTCATTGGTTTCTAACCAAATGTATGGCTCTATATGTGTGGAAAGTACATGTGTTTGGTGGAGCTAGAACTTGAGCTACTCTCTTAATCAAGGTATCCTCTCTTGTGCCAATCTAGTTCGAATAAGTTTGAGTTCGCTATGATGGAGTTTGTTTACACTTTCATTTTTTTTATTTATTTATTGATGTAATCCTTTGATCTCTATTATGCAATGATCTGGTTTCAATCATACAATAAATAACAAGGAGAAGAATAATCACACACACAAACACAAGATATATATGGTTCGGTGAGATGCCTACGTCCATGGCGGAGAAACGATCAAAATTCACTATATGCAATAAGGATTACAAATTACTCTATAGCTCTCTCTGTTTTTCTCTAACCCTAAAACGTAGAAACTGATACAATTTACAGTGTAAAAACTAATGGGCCAAAACTAACATTACAAGTCCATAAATATCAATTTCTGTCGTAGGGGGCCTTTCTAGAATAATCAATAATGAAACTGACAAAGCAGTGTGCTCCACTAAGAGAAGAAATCGTCACTGACCCCCAAACATCTGAGTAGACATAGTCAAGAACACCCTTACTAGTATGAGCACCTATCATGAAACTGACTCTGTGTTGTTTCCCATACACACAATATTTGCAGAACTCCAAATTGCACGTTTTCACACCCTTTAACAAATTCTTCTTATGAAGCTCTAACATACCACGCTCACCTATATAACCAAGCCGTATGTGCCAAAGCTTTGTGTCATCCGTGCTTGATTCTATTGGTGTGGAGATTGCAACTCCACCTACAATTGTGTTCCCAAACAATCTGTATAGATTCCCAACTCTTGTCCCTTTATTATCAACAAAGCACCTTTGTTGATTTTCATTATTCCACCTTTTGCCACATATCCACAACCTATACTATCCAGTGCACCCAAAGAGAATAGATTCTTCTTGATTTCTAAAACAAGTCTAACATCGCTCAAAACCCAAACAACTTCATCAAACATCTTCCCTTCACAGTACTTGTTCCAATGGCTTTGCATACTGCATCATTACCCATTAGAACAGTACCTCCTTTGCAAGGTTTATATGTATCAAACCAATGCAGACACATATAGTAAGAGCAATCGGAATCTAAAATCCATGATTCTGCTAAAAAATTCATACCTGAAGAAATTGAAAGTAAATTCATACCCAAATTTTATTTCTATTCTGTTACAATAGCTAATTTTGCAGGTTTCTTCTAACTTTAACTTTCTTCTAAATGTTGCTTCAAATCAGAACATTGATTTTTGTAATGTCCAGGTTTGTGACAATGGTAGCACTCCACGTCTTTCTCGCACTTGGCCTAGATTGCAATCTCTTTCCATTGGAACTTCTTCCCTTTGATTTGCTTCTGCCCCTTTATGTCTCTGACTTGGCAACAAGTCCATCTACAATGGGTTCATCATCCTTTTTCATCCTTAAATGTGAAAGGAGAGCACTGGTCACTTCCTCGAGTTACAATGTTTCCTTCCCTTACGTGGACTCGCCTTTTTTTCGCGCCCCGCCTTTCGGAAAGGGTTTGAAAAGAAGGCCTCACAGTTTAGACTCTTGCAGTTCTAAATCTAGTCTCACAAGTGCAATGTGAAATTGATAAACACCAAAGAGTCCAAATCCAGCAAACCTTTTTAGAAAATTGATTTCAAATCAAATAATGTCAAAATTGGACTGCTTTGCTAGATATAGAGTCGCCACCTAAATATTTTATTTTGAGAAAATTTAGGAAACCCTGACTCGTGTCTAAGGCCACATGTCCGTTATCACCAAAGTTGCCTCGGCTTGGGAACTTAGGTACAAGAGAGGAGGGTCCTGAAATGAGCAACATCGCTTGCCCGATCAAAGATCGGCCTTTACTAAACATGATATGATGTTTTATAAACATTATGTGTTCCTGTTCTGGTTATTAGCTAACTTTACTATATGACGCACACAAGCAAGTATAGACTAGTTGCAAGACTTAGAACAATTCAACTCATATTTGTTTGCGAAAATGGTTTGATGCTGCTACCTCAAGTGGGCTTAAAAATGTGGATTTGCCACCAAACATAGTGGGCTTAAAACACTGATTTGCCACAACAAAGTGGGCTTAAAACGGAATTTTACCACAACAAAGTGGGCTTGAAACAAAATTTGTTGAATCATTCCAATTCAAACAACAAGCCTTCATCTACAGGCATTCATGCCGTTTAGCAAGTAAGCACATAGCCTCATGGCAAGCATGCGAAACATGGCAATATGGCAATCACACTTATGCAAGTATGCTAATGCGCAAAAACTTACCGAGTACTCTAAGCTAAAACAAAAACTAGTTAGAAAGATGCATGATCCTAACTATACAAGATGCCTAATGCAACACATGCAATATGCAATTAATAGGCTCAGCTACTAATATAGCATATGAATCGATATGAACAACATGCGATAAACACATATTCAAATAAGATATTGAAATTACGATGCAGTTTGAATGATGCGCGGAGCCTCGGTGCATACAAGACAAATGAATGGATGCAAACATGTGATATGCTAATTAAGACATGTCCTTAATCTAACCATCGAAAGTGATTAAATAAAAGGGAGAAAGACATGGGGTTGGAAGACATACACACACGCACGCATACTTATTACAACATTATGCCCTCGCGAAGGAGGGTCCGAATGAATAAAACTAAGCAACTAGCTATGCTAATTAAGCTAACTAATACAACACTTGAAATGAATTAACTAACTATTCTAAGCTAATTAATTATTACAAACTGGAATCGAATAACTAGTTACACTAACTAAGTCATTTTCTTTAAGTGTTTTGAACCAAATTTTAAACCAATTTTATTTGGCCTTGTTATTCATTAGTCCATTTGTCCAGATGTGATGTTAGGAGTCCTCTAAACAAGAAATAATGTCAAGCGAAAGGTCTCTCTAAAACATGAGAGAAAGGCTACACCGTTGACAATGAATCTCCTAAGAGATTAAGCCATTAAGTGTTGACCATTCTTACATGTCTCGAGCAACTTTGATCGGTTGAAATCATTCTCAAATGAAAATGATAAATAGTTGATTGATTATTTAGAGTGAGACTCTCACCATGGAAATAAAGCAAAGGAAAGCTTAGAACAATACAATATAAGCCATGCATGCAATTTACGAGATAACACATGAACTAACCAAAGCATGGAACAATTTTAACGGCCATGGAAACCTAAAACAGCTCCTAAAAGGGTAAAAATAGTACTGAAATTACACTACAAAAACAAAAAAAAAAGCAAGCAAAATAGGAGAGAATTAAAGCTAGTAAGCAAGCCTAAGGAGGGGTGGCTAATCCCTTCACTTTTTGGACCTCAAAACCATATATTTTAGCCTTTCAAAACTCTAAAAATCAGTATGAATACCAAGGGAAGAGGGTGAAAAGGAGAGAGTTTAGTTTATGAAATAAAGGTACCCTTTTGGTAACCCTTCCAACTCAATTCCAACACCTCAAATGAGCTCAAAAACAATCAAAACAGCAAGAATGATGATGTAACGAAGAAAAATGTAAGAAAGAAAAGAGAAAGCAAGCTTATACCTTTCGAGAAGCTAGCTTGCTTTTAGAGTTTCAAACTCAAATTCAATGCACTCTCAAGTTTGAATTACACTTCCTCAATATCAACCAAGGCCTTAGGATGATCAAACAAGGCTGCGTATGGTGTGTAGTGATGGTGTAAGCAAACTAGGTTAGCTCAAAGGATGCCTTGCAATGGAAGAAGGAGGAGTCAAGGTTTGTCAAGCGTGTATAGCTCTCTTCTAGATATTTGTTCAACCCTCAAAACAATCCTAGAGCCTCGGTTTTATAGAATTTGAGCTGAAAAGGTGACAAATATCTTCAAAAATGGGCAGCCAGCGGCCTTCCGTCCAGAACAGTGTTTATCGCCATTGAAGGCTGACTGACCATTCATAGCCATGGCCGACCATCACCAATGCACGGCTGGGCTATGATGGCCTTCCTTGTTTTTTGGCTCAAACTCAACTCATGGAGGGAAAAGGTCCAAAAATAAAGCTCACAGGTTCAAACAAAGTAAATGTTGAAGATTTGAGGTTATTTCGGGAGTTTGATTGATTCCAAATCGCTGCGAATTCACAATTCAACTTTCATCATTGAGTGCACCGAACCGAGCGTCCGAGTCTTGTGAGCAATCAAAAGTGGGGTGTCTACACCTTACATCAACATTGCAACTAGATGATCAAACGAAGAGGGAAATGATGCTAATAGGAGTATTGATTTGTCTTCTTCATCAACCTTTACCCCAAAACCCAACAACAGTGTATTTAACATATTAAATACATTGAGATATTCCAGCACGTCTATATTATATTTCATCTTTAAGTCGTAAAATTTTTTTTTCACATATAATTTATTAGTTAGATTTTTCCATATATACAAACCTTCTAACTTCTTCCAGATTGCTTCAGCAGTCTCCTCATCAAGCATGTTGTGAATGGCTTCGTTAGATAGGTTTAGATAGATTGCACTGGCCAACTTTGAATCAAGTTCCCCCCACACATCGTCTTCCATCTTCTCTGGCTTATTCACTTCCCCAAGCAATGCTTTGGTGATCCCTTGCTGGATGAGAAGATCCTTCACCCATCTCTGCCAAAGAGAGAAGTTATTCTTGTCATTGAACTTTTCAACTTCATACTTTGAGCTCGCCATTGTTAATAATCAAAAGATTGAAACCCTAACTTGGCTCTGATACCACTTGTTATGCAATGATCTGGTTTTAATCACACAATAAATAACAAGGAGAATAACAATCATACACACAAACACAAGATAAACGTGGTTTGGCGAGATGCCTATATCTACGGCAGAAAAATAATCAAAATCCACTGTATGTAATAAGGATTACAAATCACTTCGCAATTCTCTTTGTTTTTCTCTAACCTTAAGATGTATAAACTGATACAATTTATAGAGTAAAAACTAATGGGCTGAAACTAACATTATAGGTCTGTAAATATCAATTTTGGCGCAATCCTGACCTATCAAGATTGCAACGCACCTTCGGTGCATCACGGGGGTTCACCCCTCGATTAGGGGGTATTACAAATACAAGACACCTCACAACAATCTCATTTATAAAAGATGGAAAATTTAGGTAGAATCCCTTCACTAGAATCTTGTTTGGTGAAAAGGACAGCCCAATTTAATTTGCTTATGTAGCTCGACTTTTCGTGCTCTCTTTCGGAAGTCGAATAGCCCTATAGTATCGTACTCCCGCGGTTCTAAATCTGATTCCACAAGTGTAATGTGAAATAGATAAACACCAAAGAGTCTAAATCCAACAAATCTTTTGAAAAATCGATTTTGAATCAAATTGCCAAAAAATGGACTGCTTTGCCAGATACAGAGTCGCAACCTAAATATTTTTGAAAAAAATTTAGGAAACCCATGACTCATGCCAAAGGCCACGTGTCCGTCATCACCAAGATTGTCTTGGCTCAGGAACTTAGGTATGAGCGGAGAAAGTCATAAATTGAGCACTCCCACTCGCCCGATCAAAGATCGGCCTTTACTAATCATGATGTGATTCTTATTTACATTATATGCTCTTGTTCCGATTATTAGGCTAGCATTACCATGGGATGCGCACACACACAAATATAGACTAATTTGCAAGAATTGGAACACTTGATCTCATGTTTTGTTTTGAAAATTATTTCAAATATGTACCACCTGAAAAAGTGATCGCATATGAACATTACTCAAATTATTCCAATTCAAGCAACTAGCCTTCATCCACAGGCACTCAAACAGTTTTAGCAATTAAGCAATTAGCCTCATGGAAAGCATGCTAGACATGACAATAATCACACTCATGCAATTATGCTAAAGCAAATAAAGGCTCATCTAGTACTCCAAGCCAAAAAAGATAGAAAAGTTAGGAAAAATGCGTGATCCTAACTATGCAATATGACTAATGCAACCCATGCGATATACAATTACTAGACTCGGTTACTAATATAACATATGAAACAATTTGGTAGCATGCGGTCTAAGAACATATTCAAAGAATCTTTTAAACTACCAATGCAAGTTAGAATGATGAACCGAGCCTCAGTGCATGCAAGACAAGTGGATGCAAACATGAAGCATGCTAATCAAAATATGATACCCTAAACCAACCATCATAAACTAATAAATAAAAGGGAGAAAGACGTGGGGTTCAAAGACATACACACACTACTACAAAAACAGATAAAGATCACGCTTTTTTTGTGTGATCTATGTTATTTAATCACACTTTTTAAGTTTTTGTCAAAGTGTAATCTTTGGGAGTGTGATTAAAAAGGGTCATTTTTAATCACACTTTTTAAGTGTGATTAATAACATTTAAGATCACACTTTTTGAGTGTGATTAATAACATTTATATCACATCTTTTAAGTGTGATTAAAAACTAATAAAATCTGTGATAATAAACATTTAGATCATATCTTTTAAGTGTGATTAAAAATTAATAAAACCTGTAATAATAATCACTTAGATCACATCTTTTAAGTGTGATTAATACCTAATAAAACCTGTGATTAATAATGAGATAAAGATCACACCTTATATGTATTTCTCATCATAGTTAATGCGTGTGATAAAAAAAGGATTCGACATATTTAAAGAATAATCAATATTATTTGTGTACACGCATTTCAATAATGTAATACATACTATATATTATACTTTGAATCACAACCACATTGAATGGAATAACGTCATATATTTCATAAATGAAAGTCAAATATGTTCAAAAGTATATACAAAGGAATTAAATAAAAAGTTTTAAATTGTGCTTACATGTATTAAAAAATGAAAAACTTGAAAAACTAAGTTCTTGAATTCTTTGACCATATTTTGCATCTCTCTAAGAAATTTCTGACCTGAAAAATAAAATCACAAATTAATTTAGAAATCGCTATGAAGAAACTAGCTATTTGTAGAGATTATTTTAGTCTTACAAAAGATAAAGTCCGACTGATCACACCGCTTCAAATGTCTCAACATTAAATACCTCTAGCATGACATGAAGCATGTAAAAACAAAATGTCACTTTACCCACAAAAATTGCAAGTTCAACAGAAGTTTTACTATAACCAACAACTTAGTTTAAGAGGCTCTATCCATCTCAAATATTTAATGTTCTACAAAAGAAATGCAATTGAATGTTGATTGTGCAAATACCTTGAGTGCATTTCAGATATCTGCGACCATTCTTCATCATCTAAAGTGGGGTCTTCTGCTCCCCCATATTGATAAATTAATTCATGTGACTGTCAAAATGAGCAAGACTTGTTGACTTGTAGCCATACTTGCAAAATGAATGGTACCACACAAAAAAAAAAAAAAAAAAAAAAAAAAAAAAAAGAAAAAAAAAAGAAAAAGAAAAAGAAGAAGCAAAGATCTAATTGTAGTTATCATACTATTATACAAATGTGTAACTAACTAATAAAAACTGCATACTTCACGAGAAGTCCAATGAAGAAAGGGATGCATGCATAAAGCAAATTATATCATTAAAGCATGAGAAAGACAACTACCAACACTTGCACATTCCATTATTAAGTGAAAATCAAATAGTTGAACACTTAGAACTACTAAACCAAGATCTCTGATACCACTTGATTCATCTTAAATGATACACTATCTGATTTTAGATTATTCATAATTGTCAATTTATATGAAGAAAGCATTACCTCTTTTGATGCACGAAAGCCCTCTAATTCAGCACTTGTAGAGAATTCTGTCAGCTTCATCGTTTCCCAGCCATAATATTTTTTAATCATAAACATGTTGGCTTAAAAGTGAGTTGCAGGTGCAAGCTAACTTTGGTGCAAGCTACAGAATAAAATGAGCCAGATACACCGTGATTTCCAAGAAAAATCAACTGATATAGATAGAGAGCAATGTGATTGTGGGCACCTAAGTAGCATGGCCACTTCTAGGGAGGAGCTGTGTTTGTGTCACACACTCCTAGAAACGTTTCTTAAGTTTAAAGTAAAATTTCATAATTTCAGACAAACGACTTTTCATGAACACTTCATGACACTTTTCGAACCCTCCTGAGTACAACCAAATGGTTAATCTCTTAATAGTACCCATGTTAGGCATTCTTCGGGCTACAACTTGTGCACCCCAAACGTACCTTCAAATATCTCAGAAAAGAATAAATCATGTGCATATCCACATAAAGTATGCAATTGACAACTTCCAACACACAAAAATAAATATATAGAAATGAAGCTAACAGTTAATAAGTAAATGTAATAAGAAACACGGAAAGCATACAAATCCACAGTGATCCAATTTTTTTTCCTAATGTAATGCTTTTCATATGATTTTCTCTAATAATTTTGGAGTGTTCTTATATATATATATATATATATATGTGAACAATTTTGATATGTGCTAGTCTCTAACACATCTTCGTTCAAAATAACCAAACAATTTAGAGAACTATGTTGGTATAGATAGTACATTTCCATCTAATGTTCATGTTGCATGAAACCATAGGTTTAAGCAAATCAAGTTTGCAACAGGTTTTGGAACCAAACATTGTTTACAAAATAAAAAATAAAAAAGTAACACAATTTGATATAAAGATTTAACAAATTATAATCCTTGTAAAGAAAATCCATAATAAAGCAATGAAAGCCAACAAAAGCATAAAGATAAAAAAAGATAATTGAAAACAGTTTTTGGGCATGCTCACTGACCCTAAATGACTAGAAATCTACAAATAAAACATTCTAGATTTTCTTTTACTTTAAGAGATCCACTTCAAACCAGATGAATTATAGTCACATAGACAACCAAAAAAAAAAAAAGAAGAGTAAAACGGTACCACATGCTTTTGAATTTAATCAAATTGATGAAACAAGAGAAATTATAATAAATGAAAAGAAAAAAGAACAAATTATGCTTCATACCTATCCTAGAAACATCATCTCAAATGCCTAACCTTTGAAACTTTTGAATGCGATGAATCAGAGAAAGTAGCATCTGTAAATTGCCTCCCCCAGGTACTGGGGATGTCATCATCAGTAGCATCATCAATCTTAGTCTGCCTTGCGTTGGCAAGATGCATTGCTGCAGACAGGTCAAAAAACTAGGGAATATGAATGATATCGAGAATATCCTGTCTCTTATTGCTAGTTAACAACAATATAGCACTCCCAAACAAACCAAACCAATTGCAACTTGATTTGGTGGATACCATATTTAAGATATTCCTTTGCATATATCTAGTGGTAGATTATTTTCCTTAAATAAGCCTTCTAGCATTTGCGTCTTCCCCACCTGTTTCAATATCAGTATCAAGCCCTTCAAATATCTGATTCTGAAATGAAAAGGGCACAATGCTTGTCTGTATGTATACTTAATCTCAGATTCATTCTATACTTAATCATATATTATACAATTTAATTTTTACCACACAAAAATGTAAAAGTTTGGGACAATTTTTTTGTGTCAATATAATTTATATATTACAAATTGGACTTGGATATTCTCTAATTAATTAGAGAGTTGAGCCTAAAGAATGGTGTTATAAGAGGAAATTCAATGGCTGTAATTATAATAGCATTTCCAAAGCTATTTTTTGGTAAATTTATGTTGTCAAAATGTCAATTTTTTTTTTTTTTTTTTTTTTTTTGTGTGGATATAGAGTGCTCCAATGGTTTATGTTAGGATGAACAAACAACCAGCCCAACTTGTACACTAGTAACAACATATCTATCACTCTAAGCTTGACCAGATTTAACATTGGGTCTAATCTAATCATTTCAAGTTTAGCACTAAAAGAAATTTAAACTTTAAGTTCACCCACATAACCCAATAAATTTAGACTATTATTATTATTATTATTATTATTATTATTATTATTATTATTATATCTTTACTTATTTTTGATTGAACCATTCTATCAACTGAAGAGAAGAGAAACTTAAAATATATTAACTTTGCTCAAGTAATTGTGTTTAAATTTCTTCCTATTTCCTTTAGGTTAAGTTAGGGTAGGATACAAATTTCTAGTGTTAAAAAGAAAAAGAGAAAATATCAATACGAATAAATTTATAGAAAATTACTTTGTCTACTCAAATGGGTGTCCATGTGACTTTTTACAAAACATACACATGTGATGTGAGCATTATGAATATTTTGCATGGTTTGATAATGTATATATGTAAATATTGAAATAGAAAAAGAAAAACAAAAAATTCACATGTGTTCACATCCACAAGAAACAAAATCCACTGGATTAATAGAATCAACTCAATATGTTGACCTTTGACATTCAATTATTTTTCTTGTGCCATGAGTTCTCATATCGACAACATGTTTTATGTAGTTAATTCATACACACACACAATGAAGCAGTGGAAAGAAAAAGGGAATAACTTGTCTCTAGTTGAGATTTTAACTAGACTAGACTGTTGAAATTTTTGACTGGAAAGAGTCATTAAAAGGAAGACTCTGACCAAGAAAAATTATGAAACAGAAGACTCTTACTAATAAGAGTTTTTGAAAAAATTCAAATGGACCCTATTTTTATAAACTCTTACCGGTAAGAGTCTTTCGTTTAATGATTCTTCCCAGTCAGAGACCTTAATTGTATGGTCTCGTTCAATTTTCAACTAGAGACAACTCAAATCTAAAGAAAAATGTCGTTCTTGTGATGAATGCTAATTTAAGAGCTTAATGGGTAATATTCTAAAACTAGAAATGCTTATATTTAGCATACCTTCCATCTTTGAGATGTGTGTCTTAACTTTTCTTGTACAACCATTGCAGTGCATTGACACCCTTAGCACCACCGTCTACATTATTAGTCATCAAACACAAATTAAATGAGTTTTTTTTTATTCCACTAATGTTTGAAAATCAATAGACTCATTCCAAATCAACAATCAGATTTAAAAGCCTATTTGATTATGAGTCTGTTGATTTCCAACAATCAGATTTATAAACCCGTAATTTTTTATTTTTGTGTGAAATAGTTTTTTTTTTTAATTCAACAATAACATTTTGATATTTCCTAAAAAGTGGGTAGTTTTTGAAAAAAAAAAAATTCAGGAAACAATACCAAACAAGTTTCCCAAGTTTCCTGTGTTTTCTGTAAACTGAAAAAAAAAATAAAATATTCCAAATAGGCTTAAAAGTAACTCATCTGGTTATTTAGTGGACCAAAAACAGAAAATCAAAATATAACCAAATAGGCTTAAAAGCAACTCATTTGATTATTCAATGGGTTAGAGATCTTCTATTACAAATTTTTTGTCTTTCAATCTCAATTCACTTACAACCATTATATTATGTGAGAATCTCCAAACATGATCAAATGACTGTACATAAATTAGAACAAGTGGGCTTCGGATTCTTTCAATATGGAGAGATTTTCTTTCATTTCTTCTTTTACAATGATAGGTGACAAGAATGTAAGTTTCAAAATTTTGTTTACCATTTCAATAGACACAAAATTTCTCAACAGCCAAACATGCTGTTACATAAAAAAAAATTATAAAAACAACAAAGTGGAGTATACATGGAAGCAACTCACCTTGGGCTTCAATTGAAAAGCAAGTGTCTGGGGCCCTTCAAGAACATCCTTCAGTTTCACCAAATTGCCTCCTTCACTTGCAACCAATGGCTTGCTCTCAAACTCATCTTCGTTTTCCAATGAATTGATGAAGAAACCAGACCTTGAGTTAGAAGAAAGGCAAAGGCAATCCAACACCCTCCCAAGACTCAGTTTCCCCATATCACACCCCAAACTTCTTACCCAAAATATCACAGTCTATATATACAAAATTTGAGTTAGAACCCTCACATGAAAAGCCACTTCTTCCCTATATGATTGATAAAAAGAAAACCCAAGCGAGCATCACAAGTAAGAAAAGAATGTAACATTTGAACAAAATGATAAAACAAGGGGATTCATAGATGTATGCCATAACAAGCTCGTATAGTAACAATCAACAATGCTAGAGCAACACAAATAGTGAGCATCACAAGCAAGAAAATAACATAACATTTGAACAAAATGATAAAACAATAGGATTCATAGATGTGTACCATAACAAGAATGACAAGGTAAAATAGCAATGTCCAGGAATTCTACTAAAGTTTGGGGCATTGTGCCACTTTTCATTGAAAAATGTGTTTTTCATCAAACCATACTTCAGAACTCCATAGTGACAGCAAATAATACCATTTTCCATAGCATAATTTAGAAATCACGAATAACATCTTATATTTGTAAGTGTCCCTTGGCAGTGAGTATTATTGGCAAACTATTATCCGTTTGACTAGGGTTGCAAGTGAACCAAACTGTTCGTGAATAGTTGCAGCTCGGCTTCTTTGAAGCTTTGTCTGTATGTATAAATGAACCAACCTCTAGCTAATCTTACCTCTATGATTACAGGGGCAGTCTCAGATTGTGCTCGAAATCCAGATCAACTTCTAATGCACTATTCTTTGGCCTTTTCGCAGCAGTTACCTTTCATCAAATGCATAGTCAATAATTAGGAATTCACTTCACAGAAAGGTGACACACTGCTGAGATCCATATGAATGGATATTGCAAAGATTTCAAAAACGTGAATATTATAAAAATGTCTCTACAGTGCCCTCAAACAATCAGAGACCGTCCTCCACAAGATGAATTGAACTCAGTGAGGGAGACAAAAGCAGAGAGAGAGAGAGAGAGAGAGCAAAAAGAAACTTACCGAATCGGCTAGTGGTGAGGTGATCTAAGAGGAGACGATCAACGGTGACTCGTAGGGCTAGCGGTGGCAGCGATTGGCAACGCTAGTAGTGGCGGAGGCGATCGGCAAGGTGAGGAGCAGCAAAAGGCAGAAAGAGTTGAATGAGATGTTTTGCGGATATGAATTAGGATTGATTGGGAATTGATGGTGCTTGTGAGAATGTATTTACAATTACTTTGAATTAGAATATATATAATCACACTTATTTAAAATATGTGATTAAAAAAAATATTATCTCACTCATTAAATTAAGTGTGATTAAAAAATTATTTTAATATTTTTAATCACACTTTTAATAAAAGTGAGATATTTTAATTTTTCTTATGTGATCTTTAATCACATGTTAATTAGAAAGTGTGATTAAAAAATATATATATAATCACACTTAATTGAAAAGTGACATAAAATATAAATATTATCACACTTAATCAAATCAAGTGTGATTAAAATATCAATCTAATTTTTTTTATCACACTTTCAATAAAAAGTGAGATATTTTAATTTTTCAAAATGTGATCTTTAACTATTTTTGTAGTAGTGACATTATTACAACAGTGCGCCCTCGCACAGGAGGATCCAAATGAACTTACTAGCTAACTAATTACCTAGTTATTACAACAACAAATGAATAATTTAGCTAAACTACTTAACTAATTATTGCAAACCAAATGAACTAATTAATTAACTAATCTAGCTAATTATAACAATTACAACATGAGACGAATTAGCTATTCTAACTAGTTAATTACAAAGCCACTATTTTAATCACAACACTAATATATTTACAACACGGATCCCGAGGATCGATAGAGGGCTCATGCATGAATGCGGTTTCCACTCGAAAAAGCCACTGTTTTTGCTGCTAAATGCCTCTATTGCACAGTAGAACATTTGCACTGATTTCCACCTCCAGACTGTAATGCCCTCAAAAAATACATAAAACCCATCACTTTAGACATGCATTGATATAAAAGAAACCAACCATTTCTATTCATCAGAGTAATTCTTACAGCTGTATTACATGTTAACAACAAAAGCAAATGCCCTATGGGCTTACAGCTTTCCAAGTCAACACCTGGTTACACAAAAGAAGAATACTAACTCTATACAAAATAAGCCCTTGGCTTGAACTCTCATCATCATCCAAGCTATGTCCTTGGAGGTGGCATACTACCTGTACCTGAAAATAATGTCCCATGTAGGGTGAGCCAACGCCCAGTAGAAATATGCTAAACACAGTATGAGCAATAACTAAGACATTAGCAATTCATAAATGTTCAATTTCCATAAATCAATTCATAACCCATTTCCATTTCATGACCACTATGTTCATATTTCATTACAGTTTCCGTTTCTTATCAATTTCATAATTTACATCAACGGCTCAGAACCTAGCCAACCACTTATATGAGACAGTGACTCATATTAGACATTTCCCATTTTACAATAGATAAACATACTAGTTGTATCAACATTTCAACAGATAAGCATACAAGCTGTATCCACATTTCAACAGATATGCATATTAGCTATATCAACACTTCCAAAGATAAGCATATGAGCTGTATCGACACTTCCATAGATAAGCATATAAGCTGTATCAACACATTAACTGACAAGCATATGAGCTGTATCAGTGGAGTCCATCCCCTATCTCCTCCCAAACAACATCCGGTTTAGAGGTCTATCCCCTATCCTCCCTTAAACCGTGGAGTACATCCCCTATCTCCTCCCATACACACAACGTATATACACATAGGTCATATACACAATCAATCAATACATAACGTTAATGTATTCTATCAACCGTCATACTCTATGACATATCCAATTGATTAGTTTTAGTTTGCCTAATCATCATGCATTGTCTACAATAATCAAAACTACCCTCCACCGGTAGTCCAAGCAATTATTTCTAAACAGATAATAAAAACTCCAACAGATAAAATATCAATGTTTTCAAAAGTGAGCGATTAACAAATCCAACTCCACTATTCTACTATATAATGAGTCAATTTCATTATTTCCAACTCAATTCCATATAACCACAATTTTTTTCAAATTAATTATACCAATTAATTTATACAACCAATTAGGGTTTTCTACCCCATTTCCCAATATTGACCCAATGGTCAATATATCAACAACCAACCTCAATAACACCATTTTGAAACCCAAAATACATATTTAAGAATCAAAATGACAAGAAACCCCATTTATACTTTTTGAAACCCTAAGTCCCAAAATCAACCATTTAATAAAATGCCCAAAAATCTAGGTCAAAGCCCATAGTAGTGAGTAGGAATCCCTACCTCAAATTCGGAGCTTAAGGAAAGAAGATGAAGAAACTCAACGTGCTCCAAAACTCAATATTCTCGGATCAAAACGTAGCCCTTGACGATCAACCCAACTCTTACAAAGGCCGAAGGAGAAGGAAACACTCTAACTAGATCAAACCCTAGAGAGAAGGGAGTTTCTAGAGAGAGGAACTCTCAAAATATCTTTTTAGAAAGTAAGAGAGAGAGAGAGAATGTAAAAAGTGATTTTAAAATGCCCAGCTGCCAACTGATATACGACATTCCCAATTGAGCGGAGAACACAACGCTCGAGCGTCAAGAACAAAAAACTAGGTACGCTCGAGCGCAAGAAGGCCAGCTCGAGCGCCAAGACACAAGAATAAAGTACATCCACTCGAGCGCGAAAACCAGTCCGCTCGAGCGTAGATTTTCCCCTCCCAGAACTTACACCAAGAAGTACTACCCGCTCGAGCGCCATAGTACCCACTCGAGCGCGACCGCTCGAGCGTAAAGAAACCCGCTCGAGTATGAAAAACATGCTTGCAGAAGTTCTGCAGAGCACCAAAATACTGGGAGCGTGCAATCTCCGCTCGAGCGCAACAAGGCCCGCTCGAGCGGAATGACCAAAACCCTGGCAACAAGATTTTAGACCAAGGTTCAACCCACCTGATCAAAACATGCCCAACACATCCTAAAACTCAAACAAATGGAATTAAAGGACGACAACAAGATAGATACAACTACCAACTCCACGGAACCGAGTCCGGAATATAACAGAACAGTAAAGGGACAACCGGGATCGCTATAACCAACTCTGTTCTGCTTTACAAAGACACTGCTTGATTTTGCACTGGTGGCCGGCAGAGGGCCTGCCGTCCACTGATGATGGCCTACTAGCCACTGCTGACTGGATCGTCCTGCTGCAACAAAGAGCAAATAGAGCAGAGGCAGTGTATTCTCAAGGATTTGTTTGCACAATTTACCCCTCCTTATCATTTGAACAACTCAAAGGAGTAGTAAGTTTGATTCACAAACCGCCAATGGATGTAATTTCATTGCATGATGACTTATGAATCAAGTGTGCAAGTTCATTGAATGCAACAAACAAGACTCTCAAAACCACCTCCCTATCATGAAAGATCAAGGGAGGTAGTTGACAATGAATCTTGAACCGTTTTCATCACTATTGAGTATGAAACAACTCAAGACTCAAGGGTTCCATTAACATCCAATTGAACCCAAACCAAATTATTATCTTACTCTATTTTTAGCCTTAATTTTATTACTTCATTTTTAGATTATCATCCATTCTTTAGTCGATTGAGTTCAAATGTGAATTTAAGTCGTCTAATGGAAAGAGGGCTCAAACCAAGAGTTTCTTTGGGCATAAAAGAGACATCATGCCATTGATAATGAACCCCTAAAGGGATTAAACCATTAAGCATGACATCTCAATCTCATGCTTAAATAAACAAGTAATTTGAAACCATTTTCAAAGAAAAACAAAAGTCAAGAAAGGAGGGAGGTTACAGAGGTGATTAAGAGTAATCACAAGTATGGAAATCTATAAATAAATACTATCAACTCAAATAAGATGGTGTCTAATGCCTAAAACACCAAGCTTATGAGGACAATTACACTACAAGCATGCAAAACAAAGCTCAAATTCAACAAACACTTAAATACAGTCCTAAAACAGTCCTAAATAAGTCCTAAAATATGATGGAATTAAGACAAAAATGGCTAGAATAATAAGCTAAAACATGGATCATGCTAAACTAGTAAGCAAAACATAAGGAGGGGAGGCTAACCCCTCTAATTTTGGACTTCAAAACATGATTTTAGCCACTGAAATTACTCTGAAAATCAGTGTTTAAAAAAAAAAAAAAAAAAAAAAGATAGTGTAAAGGTGGGAAACACAAGGGTAAAGGCCTTGAGAGCAAGGTGTAAAGAAGGGTAAACCACTCCTCAACCTTTATTGGCCTTAAAACCCATGTTTCAACCCAAAAATACAGAGTTTTTATAGCCCAAAACCAGTTGAAAAATAGTAAGAAAAAATAGTAAATACAATAAGTAAAGAGGCAAAGCTTTATACCTCTTGAAGATCAGATCACTTTCAAGCAATAAAACAAGGCAAACACACCTTCAAGAGCTCAAAGAAGACTGAAAGATACCTCAGCTCAAAGATGGAGGGGTTTGGTTAAGAGTGTATTGGCAAAGGTGAAGAGTGTATAAGTAAAGGTGAAGAATGTATAAGTAAAGGTGAAGAAATTTGCAAGAGAGAGAGAGAGAGAGAATTGTAGAGAGTGAGGAAAAATTTTGCTCCAAAATTTTTCTAACCCCAAAGCAAGAGAAGAGGTCCTTTTTATATACAGAAACATGAACCTCCCTCAGAAACATCCAGCCATACACGTGGGAGCAGATGCAAGCATCTGTGCAAACAGCTAGCACAGCTGTCACAAAATATATGCAAAACACATTGGTGGCCGGCAGGCCACATCAGTGACTGGCAACCAAGAGCAATGGCCGACAACCCATAGCAGTGGCCGGCAGGCCACCAGAGGTTGCAGGCTTGGAAATCCAAGGTTTTGGTCCAGAACAAGGCAACATAGGAGTAGGGTTTGAAAGGCTCAAAGTTGTGGCATTCCGCTAAGCATTTCGAGCTTATCAAGCATATAGACTTGTCATTGAGTGTACAAGATGTCCAAGTCGAAAGGGCCATCAAAAATGGGATGTCTACAGTTGCCTCT